CGAAGGCCCCAGTGGCTGCTCTCGCATGCGGTTCCCCCACCCAGGGCAGCATTTCGTGGCCCCATAGGGAGCCCCACCGAAAGCGGCACCCACAACGCGTTACGAACAATTGCTTATGGTTGGGTCCTTCGCCAGGATAATTTTGTTGCGGCCCGCGGTTTCTGCGAACCCAATCGCTGCCTTTCCTGGTTTGTTTGTGTTTGGGATGGGGAGATTAGCGGGCCATTGTCTTTGGGGCCCGCGGTTTCTGCGAGCCCAATCGTAACCTTTCCTGGTTTGTGAGGGGTGAGGATATTTGCGGGTCATGGTTGGGGGGGGGCCTCAACTCCTTGCGAACCCAATCCCAGACCAGATTTGCCGGCCAGTTTTGATTGGCCCGCAGTGTGTGTTAGCGAGGACATGTGCGGTTCATGTTGTGTGGACATGTAGTTTCTGCGAGCCCAGCCGCAGTTGTTTCTAGTGGGGATATTTGCGGGCTACTTTCTGCTGGCCCGCAGCTGTTGCGAGCTCAATCGCAGCGTGTCCTGGCCAGTCTGGGATGATTCGATTTGCGGGCCTTTTGCCTTTTTTCTTGGCCCGCAGGTTCGGCACAACCCTTCCTCGTTTGCTTTCGGCGAGCAGTTTGGTGGGCCATTTATGTTTGGCCCGCAGTTTTCGCGAGCTCCTTGCGGGCACCCCCGTGCGGGCCCCACCCCGCCCGCGTCCGCTCAGCAGTGAGCCCATGTGCGGGCCTTTTTTTTTCGGGGGGGGGCAGGGGGAGGGGGGCGCAGTTTCCGCGGGAATCGCCCCGCCCCTGCTTTGCCTGCGCGGGGTGGGCAAGTTTGCAGGCCATCTTCGCCGCGGCCCGCCTCCTGCCTGGGGCCCGCACCGCGCTTGGGGTTCGTACCACCTGCAGCTCGGAGGCGCAGGGGGGGACAGAGAGAGAGCGAGAGAGAGAAACAAAAAAACATAAAGAGGAGAGAGACAGAAACATGGGCATAGGCATAGGCAGGCCTAGCGTGGACACGCGTGGCGTTTCCCTTTCACGGCATCGACCAACATGTCTTGGCCTGGCCTTGCATTGCCTGCGTGGGGTGGGCAGATTTGCGGGCCATCTTTGCCAGGGCCCGCGTCTTGCTTGAGGCCAGCGCCGTGCCTCGGGCTCGTATCAGCTGCAGTTCGGAAGCGCAGGGGGAGACAGAGAGTGATAGAGAGAGAGAGAGGCAGAGACAGAGACACAGGCACAGACAGAGACAGACTGAGCGGGGGCAAGCGTGATGCTTGTGTTGCACAGTATCTACCAAAATGTCCTGGCCCAGCCGGGCTTGTGAGGCCACGCCCGTCAACACTTGTAAGAGCTTCACGAATAGAGGGCGGATCGCTTTCAAAATGTCGTTCTCGCTTTAGCGCCGCACACGTTCGCTCTAAACACTGCGAGAGCAAAATGTGGCTCCCGCCTCAGCGCCGCACACACTCGTCTTAAACATTTGCAAGAGCTTCACGGGTTGAGGGCGGGTCGTTTTCAAACCCTTGACGCTTCGCATATACCAGCGAGCCCATCCAGAAACGATACCCAGGCGAGTTGCCTTGATCAGGGCAGTGGGGGAGCACACAGAGGAACAAAGAGCTTGAGAAACCGTCGTACACCACGATGGGGTAGGAGGAGGAGAAATCGGAGGAGGAGGAGGAGGAGGAAGAAGAGGACGCCGGGGGCCTCTTGGAGCGTTGTGGGTGTCTCGGGGGGGGCTCTTGGGGCCTCTTGGCGGTCTCTTGGGAGCGTCTTGGAGGCCTCTTGGGCGCCTCTTGGGGCCATCTGGGCGCCTCTTGGGACCCTCTGGGGCCATCTGGGCGCTCTTGGGAGCCTTGGGGGGCCATATTGGAGAAGATCGATCCAAAAAAAATGTGAACTCTGATTGCGACCCCCCCTCGGGAGCCCCAACAACCACCTCTTGGGCCCCTTTTGGGGCGCTCTTGGAGCGCTCTTGGGCGCTCCTGGGGCCGTCTTGGGGCTCTCTTTGGCCTTTTTGGGGGCCCTCACGGGCCCTCTCTGAGCGTCCTTGATGCCTCGGAAGGCCATCGGAAGCGAAAAGGCGAGAAGGCAAACCTCGTTGATTTTTACCTAACAGCGAAGATAAAAAGAGAGCAGCACATTACTTCAACATTACTTCAACATTACTCCACAGGGGGGTCTGGGCAGCCGTTGGGGGCAGTTGGGGGGCAGTTGGGGGGATGTTGGGGTTTGCCGGCGGGGATCGTTTTTCGCATACAGTCACACACTTCGTGCCCACTTCGTGCTCTTCGATTTCCCAGAACTCCATTCCCGGGCCACATTTTGGATGCCCGGAGCCAACTGTAGGCCACTTCGTGCTCTTCGACTTCCCAGAACTCCATTCCCGGGCCACATTTTGGATGCCCGGAGCCAACTGTAGGCCACTTCGTGCTCTTCGATTTCCCAGAACTCCATTCCCGGGCCACATTTTGAATGCCCGGAGCCAACTGTAGGCCACTTCGTGCTCTTCGAGTTCCCAGAACTCCATTCCCGGGCCACATTTTGAATGCCCGGAGCCAACTGTAGGCCACTTCGTGCTCTTCGAGTTCCCAGAACTCCATTCCCGGGCCACATTTTGAATGCCCGTAGCCAACTGTAGGCAACTTCGTGCTCTTTGACTTCCCAGAACTCCCATTCCTGGGCCACATTTTCAGCAGGGGCAAGAGCACGACGAGGAGGAGGACGAGCAAGACCAGGAGGACGAGGACGAGCAGGAGCAGGACGAGGAGCAGGAGGAGCAGGAGAAGAAGGACGAGCAGGAGGAGGAGGAGGACGAGCAGGAGGAGGAGGACGACCAGGAGGAGGAGGACGACCAGGAAGAGGAGGAGGAGGAGGAGGAGGAGGAGGGGGAGGAGTACCAGGAGGAGGAGGAGGAGGAGGAGGAGGAGGAGGAGGAGGAGGAGGAGGAGGAGGAGGAGGAGGAGGAGGAGGAGGAAGAGGAGGAGGAGGACGAGGAGGAGGAGGAGGAGGAGGACGAGGAGGAGGAGGGGGGGGGAGAGCACCAGGAGGAGGAGAACGAGGACCACCAGGAGGAGGAGGAGGAGGAGGAGGAGGAGGAGGAGGAGGAGGAGAGAGGAGAGAACACCAGGAGGAGGAGGACGAGCAAGACGAGGAGGACGAAACAGACGACGAGGAAGAGGAGGAGGACGTAATGAGGTAGGGAGGAGGGGAGGAGGGGAGTGGGGAGGACTATTAATATGAAACCATGAGAAGGCAGGAGGAGGATGAAGGGATTAAATGATAAGGAGGAGGAACGAGGCAGGGAAGGATGAGTAGGAGGGAGGAGGTAGGACGAGGAGGAGGAGGGGGGGGAGAGCACCAGGATGAGGGAAAACGCGACCACACCAGGCCAATGAGAGTAGGAGGAGGGGAGGAGGAGTCGAAAGACAACCCGTCGAGTCGGCTGGTCCTACGCAGAATGAGGAGCGACCGCGGCCGAGCAGTACTGAAAGGCCGTGTCGGCGGCAGGCCCTCTCTGCGGCACGGAGGATCTCGCATTGCGCTGCGACTGTCATCGCGAATGCGACTACGACTGCGAGAACAGCAGAATTCGACAACTGGATTTTCATCTGAATCTTAAGGGGAATGCTTTCAGATATGCTTCTACACATCGCTGTTAGGTTGCTTTGCCGGGATAATCTTTAGGTGTTTGAAGGATGTGTGCCTCTTGGCAGCCTCCTGGGGAGGCTCCGTGGCCACTCGGAGCCGTCTTGGAGCGGTCTTGGGGCCTCTTAGAGCATCTTGGGAGCCATATCGAGCCGTCTTGGGCTATCTTGGGCCATCTAAGAAATCATCTTGGGCTCTTTATGGCCTAGATCCTAGAGCCATCTTGGGCCATCTTGTACGCCCCAAGGACTCGCCACCCCCACCCCTCCAGGTCCAGGGGAGAGAATAAGGGCGAAGGTAGACCCCTCTCCGAAGGGGAAGAAGGGGGTTGGAACAGGAGCCTCCCTAGACCACTGACGCCCAGAGAGCTGGTGGCAATGTGGCTCTCGCCTCAGCGCCGCGCATATTCCCTTTACACATGTTACTAGTTTCTCTGATTTCCATTGCCAACGTACCAGACATGTTGTTTGGAACGGCTCAAGATTGCCAGGCCGCAATAGTTACGTTGATTCGCGGCGTGTGTCGTCCCAAGAATGGCGTTCTGGCACGATTCGGGATTGACAAAACGCAACAGTATGGTTGATTCGTAGCGTTGGAGTCCCGAAATGATGTTTTGGCACGCTTCAGGACCTTCGAACGGTTGTCTCGTAACGGGGCACTTCCCTTGAGTGAAACTGAATCCGTGGAGGAGCCTATGAAGAGGGAGCTTGGAGGGAGGGTGTATTCCAACATCGTTGATGAGTCTTGAGTTTGCACTGGTCTTCTTCCGCCCCCTCCTCCTCTTCGCTTCTCTCCACCTTCCCCCACCTCATCCACTGCAGAACCCGTTTTCTGTCACAGCTTCTGCCTTGACGGCGAGGCCATGACCTCCCATCGTCTTCGCGGTTGAAGCTTGGGCCGCGACCTGCCTGCTCGAATCGGATCATCTACTCCCCCTCTCGCCTCCGAGACACCCCTCGGGCCCAGAGCTCGGAGCAAACCACCCGCGGTCAGGAGCCACCTACCCCTGGGGGCCGAGGGCGCCCTCAGATGTCGTTGCGGATCCTCCGTTTCCTTTGTGTCCTCGTCCTCCTTCGCCGCCTCCTCCTCTTGCTCCTCCTGCTCCTCCTCCTCCTCCTCCTCCTCCTCCTCCTCCTCCTTCTCCTCCTCCTCCTCCTCCTCTTCCCTGTGGCCGCATGTCTGCGGCGTGCGTTGGAGCTCTTTGCATGGGATCCGACAGACACACCCTACTCCACTCCCTCCTCCAGCCGCCCTCCCCCCCCCCCCCCCTGTTCTTCTCCCTCCTCCGCCCTCCCTCCTCGCTCCCTCCTCCACCCTTCCTCATCCATCCTCCCTCCACCCTCCCTCCCCGCCCCCCTTCTCCCAGGGCGAGCTGGGCGTCTCCCCGCTGCGCGCCCCCCGCCCTGGCGCGGGAGCAGGGCCCGCTGCGCTGCTCCCTGGCGCGCCTCGCGTGGGAGCAGTGCGGGCTGTAGGCCCCGCGCCCGGCGCCCAGGGAAGCTTGGCCCTGAAGCATCCGGGCCGCGGTGTGGAGAAGACATGCCCTGAGATCTGGGCGTTGCAATGTTTTCCCACTGGGCGTTTTCGCCTGGAGCCGGGCCCCAGACCTTCCCACAGATCGATCTGGCCCGAAGGATGCCGCAGAAGGGCGGGGTCTCAGGGCTCCAGTCGTTTCTGTTGCGTGATGCTCCCCCGAACAGTGCTTGCCCTTGGGGGTTCTCATGTCTTTTCTAAGGAACTGGGTCTGCGCGGCGGTCTGGCAGCTGTGCTGCCGCCGTCGCCGCCCCGTCGCCGCCTCGTCGCCGCCCGCCGTCTGGGCCTGCGCGGCGCGGCAGTCAGGCGGCTATGTGGCTGCCACCCCCACCCTGTCGACGCCTCGTCGCCGCCCGTCGTCTGGGCCTGCGCGTCGGGTCCGCCGCCTTGTGGTCGCCGTCGCCGCCCCAACGCCGCCTCGTCGCATTGCGTTTCATTTGATTTGCTTGCATTGCTTGATTTGCATTGCTTTTCCTGTCTTGTGCATTGCTCTGCGTTGCATTTTTTGGCTGCTTATTTTTTCTTCTCTGAGTAACTGGGAGCGTCATGGGCCGCTCTGGCCCCCATGTGGCCGCCGTCGCCGCCCGTCGCTTCAGCCTGCGGGCCGCTTTGGCCGCCATGTTGCAGCCGTCGCCGCCTCGTCGCCGCCCGCCACCTATCGCCGCCCGCTTTGCATTGCTTTGCATTGCTTTTCACTGCTTCGCGCCAATGCGTCGCAATCGCAGAGTTTTGCAATTGCTTTGCATTTCGCTGCTTTCCAGTGATCTGCATTGCGTTGCATTGCTATGCCGTGATTTGCGTTGCTCGGCAGTGCTTTGCATTGCCTTGCGCATTGAACTTTGTTTCGCATTGCTTTGCATTGCTTTGCATTGCTTTGAGTCGTGTAGATGTACCCCCCGGACTTACCGGTACCCCCCCGGACTTATCGGTACCCCTTGGGATAGTACAATTTCATATACAGATATACATATATAGATAGATAGATAGATAGATAGATAGATATTCTGCACACCCGTCCATCCTAAGTATGAAATCATATCATCCCAGTCAAACCGGGTTCCCCCCCCCTGAGGTTCCCTGGTAAAAAAACACTATGCGGCGACATTGTTTGTTCTAACATAACACTTGTTCACGAATCCCTTACAAAAAAATTGACGAAGTGCACACGCGCGCGTCGTCGCGCGCGCATGCCGAAATCCTTCAAAAACCTTCGGTGCCGGAAGGATTTCGCAATCGAGTTTCCAAAAAAACATGCAAAAACACAGGGTTTCGCAACACTGAATTGCTAAAAAAGCTTACGCGCGAACTCTTGCGAAATCTTAAGAAAAATCCATCGGTTTTTCAATATTCTTACAAAATGCTACCAAACGGGCTTCGCGCGCGCATGTCGAAATCTGTCGAACGCCCTTGCGCGTGTGCCGTCGCGAGAATCCTCTGCAAAAAATGGGACGAAGTGCAGACGCGCGCGTCGTCGCGGGCGTTTGCCGAAATCCTTCAAAACCCATCGGTTTCGGCAGGATGTCAAAATCGTGCGTCCAAAAAACCTACAAAAACACAAGGTTCGCAACACGGATTTTCAACACAAGCGTGCGCGCGCGCGCTCTTGCGTCGTCGTCGTCGTCGTCGTCGCCGTCCTCCCTCCTCCCGCGTCGTCGTCGTCGTCGTCGCCTACGTCGTCCTCTGTCTTTTTCGTGTTCGTCGTCGTCGTCCTCTTTGGCGTCGTGGTCGTTTCCGTCGTCGTTGTCGCCGTGGTCGTCCTTCCTCCTCCCTCGTCGTCGTCGTCGTCCGTCGTCGGCGTCTCGTCGTCGTCCCTCCTATTTCGTCGCCGTCGTCGTCGTCGTTGTCGTCGTCGTCTTCCCTCCTCCCTCGTCGTTGTCGTCGTCGGCGTCGCCGTCCTTCCTCCTTCGTCGTCGTTCGCGTCGTCGCCGTCCTCCCTCCTCCCTCGTCGTTGTCGTCGTTGTCGTCGTGTCGCCGTCGTCGTCCTTCCTCCTCCCTCGTCGTCGCCTTCGTTGGCGTCGTCGTCTCTTCGTCGTCGTCGGCGTCGGCGTCGTTGTCGTCGTCGAAGTCGTCGGAGACTTTAGTCCGGTCTTAACAGGTGTTGCAACCAAGTTGCGGGTGGGTGGTGGGATGTTTGCGCGAGCAGTGGAGATGACGGTTTCAAGTTCAGCAGAGTGGATTCTCCTTTTTAAAAGATTAATAAATTCTACCCCCCTCCCCCCCCCGGACTTATCGGTTCCCTTTGGGATAGTACGATTTCACATATATTCTGCACATTCGTCCATCCTAAGTATGAAATCGTATCATCCCAGCCGAACCGGGTTCCCCCCCCCTGCGGTTCTCTTGTAAAAAACATTATGCGGTGACATGTTTTGTTCTAACATAACACTTTTTCACGAATCCCTTGCAGAAAATGGGACGAAGTGCACACGCGCGCGTCGTCGCGCGCGCATGCCGAAATCCTTCAAGAACCTTCGGTGCCGGAAGGATTTCGCAATCGAGTTTCCAAAAAACATGCAAAAACACATGGTTTCGCAACACTGATTTGCTAAAAAAGCTTACGCGCGAGCTCTTGCGAAATCTTAGGAAAAAACCATAGGTTTTTCAAGATTTTCACAAAATGCTACCAAACGGGCGTCGCGCGCGCGCATGTCGAAATCTGTCGAACGCCCTTGCGCGTGTGCCGTCGCGAGAATCCTCTGCAAAAAATGGGACGAAGTGCAGACGCGCGCGTCGTCGCGCGCGTACGCCGAAATCCTTCAAAACCCATCGGTTTCGGAAGGATTTCAAAATCGTGCGTCCAAAAAACCTACAAAAACCCAAGGTTTCGCAACACGGATTTTCAACAAAAGCGTGCGCGCGCGCTCTTGCGTCGTCGTCGTCGTCGTCGCCGTCCTCCCTCCTCCCGCGTGTCGTCGTCGTCGCCTACGTCGTCCTCTGTCTTTTCTCGTGATTCGTCGTCGTCGTCCTCTTTGGCGTCGTGGTCGTTTCCGTCGTCGTTGTCGCCGTGGTTCCTTCCTCCTCCTCCCTCGTCGTCGTCGTCGTCGTCGCGTCTCGTCTCGTCGTCGTCCCTTCTATTTCGTCGCCGTCGTCGTCGTCGTCGTCGTTGTCGTCGTCGTCGTCGTCGTTCTCTCCTCCCTCGTCGTTGTCGTCGTCGGCGTCGCCGTCCTTCCTCCTTCTTCGTCGTTCGCGTCGTCGCCGTCCTCCCTCCTCCCTCGTCGTCGTCGTCGTTGTCGCCGTCGTCGTCCTCCCTCCTCCCTCGTCGTCGTCTTCGTTGGCGACGTCGTCGTCGTCTCGTCGCGTCGGCGTCGGCGTCGTCGTCGTCCTCGTCGTCGACGTCGGCGTCGTCGTCGTCGCCGCCGTCGTCGTCGTCGTCGTCGGCGTCGTTGACGTCGTCGTCGTGGTCGTCGGTGTCGTCGTTGTCGTCGTCGTCGGCGTCGTCATCGTCGTCGTCGTCGTTGTCAAGAGATCGTTGTCGTCGTAAAGTGCCATTTGGTACCCACCGTCACGGTCTTAAGAGATTTTGCAAACCAAGTTGCGGGTGGGTGGGTGGGATGTTTGCGCGAGCAGTGGAGTGGACAACTCACTGCGAACAGAAATTAATTGCACCACCTAGATTGCACCACATGGATTCTCCGTTCTAAAAACAGAATAGGATCTACCCCCCCCCCGCGTTATCGGTTCACTTTTCGGGTATGTAAATCATATATGAATATGACCACATGTCCATCCTGAATATGAATTTACAGTATCCCCGGGGGGCCGGTATCCCCTCCCTGAGGTTCCTTGGTAAAAAACACTATGCGGTGACATCTTTGGTTCTAACATAACACTTATTCGCGAATCCCTTGCAAAAAATGGTACGAAGTGCACACGCGCGTCGTCGCGCGCGCATGCCGAACTCTTTCAAAAACCTTCGGTGCCGGGAGGATTTCGCAATCGAGTGTCCAAAAAACATGCAAAAACACAGGGTTTCGCAACACTGAATTGCTAAAAAAGCTTCCGCGCGAGCTCTCGCGAAATCTTAAGAAAAAACCATAGGTTTTTCAAGATTTTCACAAAATGCTACCAAACGGGCGTCGCGCGCGCGCATGTCGAAATCTGTCGAACGCCCTTGCGCGTGTGCCGTCGCGAGAATCCTCTGCAAAAATGGGACGAAGTGCAGACGCGCGCGTCGTCGCGCGGCGTATGCCGAAAACCTTCAAAACCCATCGGTTTCGGAAGGATTTCAAAATCGTGCGTCCAACAAAACCTACAAAAACACAAGGTTTCGCAACACGGATTTTCAACAAAAGCGTGCGCGCGCGCGCTCTTGCGTCGTCGTCGTCGTCGTCGTCGTCGTCGTCGCCGTCCTCCCTCCTCCCGCGTCGTCGTCGTCGTCGTCGCCTACGTCGTCCTGTCTTTCCTCGTGATCGTCGTCGTCGTCCTCGTTGGCGTCGTGGTCGTTTCCGTCGTCGTTGTCGCCGTGGTCGTCCTTCCTCCTTCCTCGTCGTCGTCGTCGTCCGTCGTCGGCGTCTCGTCGTCGTCCCTTCTATTTCGTCGCCGTCGTCGTCGTCATCGTCGTTGTCGTCGTCGTCGTCGTTGTCGTCGTCGGCCGCCGTCCCTTCTTCGTCGTTTCGTTCGTCGTCGTCGCCGTCTCCTCTCCCTTCTTCGTCGTTCGTCGTCGTTGTCGTCCGTCCTCTCCGTCGTCGTCGTGTCCGTCGTCCGTCGTCGTCGTCGTCGTCGTCGTCGTCGGCGACGTCGTTGTCGTCGTCGTCGTTGTCTTCGTCGTTGTCGTCGTCGGCGTCGTCGTCGTCGGCGTCGTCGTCGTCGTTGTCATCGTCGTCGGCGTCGGCGTCGTCGTCGTCGGTGTCGTCGTCGTCGTGGTCGCTGTCGTCGTCGAAGTAGTTGGAGACGTCGTCGGTGTCGTCGTCGTCGGTGTCGGCGGCGCCGTCATCGTCGTCGTCGCAGTCGTCGTCGGCGTCGGTGTCGTGGCCAAGAGCCATCTGGTACCCACCGTCACGGTCTTGTCTTAAGAGGTCTTGCGACCAATTTGCGGGTGGGAGGGTGGGATGTTTGCACGAGCAGTGGAGAGGACGGCTTCAAGTTGAGCAAGTGATTGATTGCACCTCCTAGATGGCACCGCATAGATTGCAAGAGATCATTGTTTAGGCCCCACGTTGGCTCACACTGCTGTTTTTCGCAGCGCTGGATCTCAGGGTGTGCTGCTCCATTTCTCAGCGGCCCCGCCTGGGGAGGGCAAGGCAGAGGCGGCCCGCAGAAGGCGGCGGGCCTCAAAGGCGGCGGGGCTTCTCGGAAGCCTTCGCGCCCTTTGAGAAGCATCGCAAGCCCTGGGCATCGCTCGGACGTGTGCGCTTTCTTCTCGGTGCGGACCATCAAGGAGCATCTTGGCTCAATCTCGAAGAGCAAGCTCACGAAATCGACAAATGCCCGGGAGACGGACGGCCCAGCGATGGCAGGTTTGAGAAGCCTCGCGGGCCTTCTCCGAAGCTACGGGCGGTTGCTCAGAAGGCGCGAGCGCCTTCTCTGCCTTCCCCCCGGATCGCGTCGCCGAAGCCGGGCTCCGGTGTTCCCTCGCCGACCCGAAGAGAGTGCTCGCGGCATGCCTGGGAGACACGGCGCACGCGGAACAGGGATGGGGGGCTCCTCCTCCCTGATGTTCGTACGCATTGTGCCGGAATATGCGGTGGAAATACAGCAAGGACGGGCAACCTTCCCAAGGGCACCCTCGCGTCCTTAGATTTTCTCGGCAGTGCGTAGTGCGCCGCTGGAAAAGCTTCAATTGGGGCGTCCAAGGACCGTCCAAGGGTCTTGCGTCCTTGCAGCGCGTCCTTACTACAGATTTTGACAGTAACCCCTAACGTAAGGATATTCGCCTGTGTGCCCCATGGAACAAGAGGAAATAGAATGCCTGTAGGATTGGCTTGTGAGAGCTGCATTTCGTCTGGAATGCATAAGCTGCATCGTAAAGTAGCCGACGGCAACCTCTACGGTATTTCGGGACTTCTTGCCGAGCGCGCCGTACAATGTGCCCGCCGTTGTACCTAACATTCGCAGCCCTTTGTGTCTCAGCGAACGTCGCTGGTTTCGGGAAGCGGGCTGTGGAGACGACCTCATTTTCATCACGCGTAGTCGTGCGATGTGTAGTGTCGTGTTAGGCACAATTTGAGTAGCGCGTGGAGTCTTCAACAGACATGCGCGCCGAATCTCACCGCCAAGTGAATAGTTATTGTTTTCAGATGTTTGCTGGAGCGAGATGCAGCATGCAGCGACAAGTCACAGCTGGGAATGCCGGGAGGCAAACGGGTCGGAGGAGAGGGAGGGCGGGAGAAAACAATTCTATGATCGAACAGATTGGGCAACCGCGAGCTCAGGGTGCCGTTCGTTGATGGTGCAGGTCAGAAAGGAAGCTTGTTGCAGCATGACTACAGGAGATAACCATGTCTGAAAGCTCGCACCCGTGGATCGCACCATCATGCTGATGTGGTGCGTGACGCGATCCATATTGGCAGCACATACAGAGATGCAAGTGAAATGTATAGCATCCGACTTGGCATCACATGTCAAATACAATGTTGGAATCGAGATGGTTCTTGCTCTAAACGCAGTAAGGTCTTCGGACGGATGACGCACAACCGGAATGATGGACAACAGTGTATGTAATTCTGGCGTACTTTGATTTATTACGGAATGATGCAACACATCCCAAAAGAGCAAGCAGTCCATAATATTGTCGTATTGCGTACTCAGTGTATGAACAGAGGGACGTTTCACATCAGATGCTGGCAACACGTCAGGAGGTGCATTGCATGATCAAACGGCTATTGGTTGCTGACGAATCAGGGCCAAATGATCCGGGATTATGTTCACCAGATTGTTTTGTTTTTTCTCTGGGCACCGCCAAGAACCCGAAAGAACGCCCTCAGGAGCGACCGGGCGGCGGCAAGAATAATCGACGCTCCTGGGCGGAGCCGAAAAATATTTGAAAGTTAGGGCGGGAGAAAAGAGGAGGTGGAGGAGGAGGAGGAGGAGGAGGAGGGCGGCAAAGCATTCTACAGAACCTCTGGGTCCGCCAGCGGACAGCTTCATGCAGCGTCCGCAGGGAGGCACCGCCAGGCCCAAGTACGCATCGGCCCACCGCTGTCTGGAGAGCAATGCCGAGGATCCCCCACCATCGTCGCTGCAGACACGGGGCGGTACCACGACGTATATGTGGATGCAGATTTGCCGTCCGTGCGGTCGCGATGGCGGGTGTGAAACGATTAGGTTGGGGATACCCATCGCCCAAACATTTCGGCTCCTCGGCATTTCAAGTTTCTTAAGTCGCTGTGGGCAACTTCAGCGTAGGTGTTGTTATTTTCTCGTTCTGCCCGTTCCAAAAGGCCTGTTGCTAGTACCGCTCCAGGCCGCTCTGGGCCGAACCGTTCGTCGTAATCGGCGTCACTACAGTCACATAGCGAAAGAGTGGCAATTCGGTTGAATCGTTCATCCCAATAACGACCGAATCAAGTCGCCGCATGTCGTTTGATAGTACACTTCGCATTGCGATCGGGCACATGCCCACCCGCTTCTATGAATACTTGCCTCCAGGCAGACAGACAGACAGAAGCCAGGCGCCTACACGGCGCATCGGCACGCAAAATTGTTTTGAGTTTTGCATTGGGGCGCGTGGGCAGCACACTTTAAATGCGCGTAGGAATGCATGGGGGCAGACGCGCCAAATGCGCACCAACGAAAACAAAAGACACGCCAATTGCGTGCCGGCACGGGGTGTAGGAAGAGGGGAGGGGGAAGACGAGGCCGAGGAAGGGAGGAAGGCAGGAGGGGAGGCGAAAATTAGAGCCACATATCTTCCATGCAATCGCGCACGCAACGAGCCCATTGTTGGTTGGGTCTCCGAAGCCTGCGCTTGAGTTCCCAGTTCTTGGGTTCACGCGAATCTGGTATGCACGTTAGCATCCTAAGCAAATTGTCAAAGGGCAAAAACGCATACGTTATTGCACAGTTTGATTTGCCGGTCAAGCAAAATTGCGCTCAGAGCGGGATAGGATGTTTTTTCCAAGACTTCCGCGTTGGATATTCTCGGGGTGAACGAAGATGGAGTGGACATGAATTTTCTCAGGCAGCGCGACGGTCCAAACGACGTTTGTCGGCTTGCAACAACCATATAGGTTCGAGGTTCTAGAGAAGTTTTGGCAACACAGTCGCACTATATAATTCAAGCTTTCTTTGCTTGGCTATGTTCGCATGCGACTAACACCCTTGCATCGCTTTGACAAATTCTTTTCGCTTCCCCAACCCGTATGGTAAGTTATGTTTTTGCGAACGCGTCTGCAGTGATTAAATTTCCGAGGTAAATTATTTGCTCCATTGTTTCGAGGAGGTTCCCAGACGGATCAAAAATACACCCGTTGCGTTTGATTTGCATCACACCTGTTTTATTACAATTTAGTATTAACCCGTAGGCAGCCCTTCCTTCGATAACAACAATCAGAAGTGATTGTAGTTTGCGCGTAGTGCTGCTCACCAATATTGTGTCGTCTGCGTACAAGAGGTCCGTGGCCACAATGAAAGGTGTGTTTTCGATAGTTGCCGTCAAGTCTTCCATGTGTTTGTCGACGTCGAAGAACATTACCCACTGAACAATGATAAATAAATATGGGGACAAGCGGCAATTTTGAACGATCCCAATTTGTTGGTCTTCTTGTTGTTGAATTGCCTGCTTCGTTGTTAAGGATGAAGAGACGCATGAAATATAGACCTGCAATAAATTCTGGAATTCCAAATCGGCGTAATGCGGTAATCAATTCGTCGTGTTTGAATTTTTCAGAAGCTTTTTGGCCAACCCAGAAAAAGTGCCAACAAAAACCAGGTGAGGCAGAGGCGCAAGCCGCGTCGATCATTGGACGCACGCTGGAAATAGCTGGCGTTGTATTCTTACCGGGTCTGAAACCGAACTGTGTTTTTCGCATATGTTCTGTTCTCGCGCGCGTTTGGCATGTCGCTCTAGTTGTCCTTGCCCATGCGCTTTTGGCGAATGGTTGCTTCGTCCTTTTTGCTCTTCCGTTTTGCAGGCATTTCTGTATAATTGAAGCCACTTTATCGGCAGCAGCGGGTTACATAACTGAACACGGGTTTCCATTTTTGAACATGGGCTTCCATAATTACCAAATTGCCAACACGGGCTTCCATAATTGCCAACACGGTCGTCCATAATTGTTATTGCGGGTTTCCGTATTTGTCAACACGGGTTTCCATGAATGTGAGTACGGGTTTCCATAATTGCCAGCAGGGTTTCCCATAATTGCTACCACGGGTTTCCATAACCACCAGGGAGGAGATGCGGAGGAAAGAGGAGTTGAGGGGATGGGGCGGGGCCGGCCGAAAGAGGATTTGAGAACAATTTTCGTTTGCGGGCGGGGGGGGTACAGTCCATTCACATAGTACGGATGAGCAGCTTTCCATGGCTACATTCGCATCCTTGCCCTTCCGCCCCACCCCTTGCGGGTTTCGCTGGCCAGCCCCGGTCGACAACGCTACACACGGCCATTTCCGTGCATCTTTCGCGCGCATCCACGGGCCCTCCGGTCCTCGCTACGCGGGCGCTTTCCGTCGCCAGGAGGCGCTGTGGGAGCCAGATCCGTGAGTTTATTATTCGCCCTTTCCTTTGTTATTTTACCTCCTCCTCCTCCGTCCTCCTCCTCCTCCTCCTCCCTCCTCTTCATCCTCCTTTTCCTCCTCTTCCTCCTCCGATTGTGGCTCCTTTCCTCTTCTCCCATTCCGGCTCCTTCCCATTCCTCCCATTCCGATTCTCTCCTATTCCTCCCATAATGATTCCTCCGGTTCCTTCCCGTTCCACCCGTTCTGATTATTTTTGTTTTTTTCTTCCACTTCCGGTTCCCATTTCGTTGTTCCCAAAACAACAAAAAAAACTCCCCATTCGCTTCCTTCCGGCTCTCTCCCGTTTTTATTGTTCCGGCTCTTTCTTCTCATTCCGATTCGTTCGGTTTCCTCCCATTCATGGCCCCATTCCTTGAATTCCGGATCTGCTCCATTTCTCCTATTCCAGCTCCCTCCTATTCCTCCCGCGCCGGCTCTCTCAAATGTTTTTTGTCCCGGCTCTTTCCCGTTCCGGTTCCTCTCGCTCCGGATCTTTCTTATTCATTCCGATGGCATTCCTCCCATAATGGTTCCCACTACTTCGATTCACACTCCTTTCCACTTCTCCCATTCCGGCCCCCTCGCATTCTTCCAATTCCGCGACCACCTCCCCATTCCTCCCATCCCGGCTCCTTCCATCCTCTCCCATTTCAATTTATTTTCATTCCCTGCACTCCGGTTCTCCCGACCATTTGCTATCCACAGTTTGCCTCGTTTCGTTTTCTGCCCTTTTTTTACCCGCATTTTTCTGCGCGGTCGGCGCACCTGGGCCGGCAGCAGCCAACAGCGCGGATTTGGGAACAAGACGGAAGATGAAAAGAATAGGAAGGAATATGATGAGTCGCAACAAGAAGAGAGGATGGAAGAGAGATTTGAGATAGGGGGTTGTTACGAGAATCGTGCAAGAACAGCGCAAGATCGCAGTGCAATATGGAAAGATCTACATTATGTCAGATGTTGTACGCCCCCGCTTCCCCTCTATCCAATCCTTCCAATCACCATCATGTTATTACGTGTTCTATTGGATATC